GAGACATGTTTTGTATTGGAGCTCTTCATGAATTTTCAAAAAACTCACATCACAAAGAAAACCATTAGCCCTCAACACAGGGGGAGCGATGGTTATGGCCCTAGGGATGGTACAGTGAATTTCATTTTCCTTTTGCAATACTGGAGAGGAGCCAGGAGAGGGCACCAGCAACCCAAGTATTCTTTTAAAGCCACTGCTGTTGACTTGGGCTAGCCTAAAATCAAGGGGAAAACAGCTTTCATGTGGGTGCTGTTCATTTCCAGGAATAATGATGTAGAGGCAGGAAATGGGACTTTCCCCAGGGTCAAGAGACTCTGTCTATATTAGAAATCCCTGGACCCTGTGTGTGCAGAAGATAAGGCTGCTGGCCTGAGTTCTAGGGGTACACTGTTGACAGTCACATTCCTTTCTGTGTAAAACTGAGTCATGATCCAGTTTCCTCTATGCATCAACCAAATCATGAAGCAGTTGTGCTGAAAAGAGATGCTCATGTTGTATCACTTCAGCTGTATCTCAAAGACTTAAAATCACTGGATCAGGACCACACCAAAACCATAGAAAAAGCCAAGTCTTGTATGCTCCAAAAGAATACAACAGGTGTAATTTTACAGCCCCATGGTAGAAAAAACTTGGGCTATAAGTTAGGAAATTGAGGTTGTAAAGAGGTGAATACAAGAACAAAGAGAGGAAAGGAGAGGAGGGTCAGGCAAGGACAAACAGGCAATTACTGAGAGGAAAATAGCCATGATGTTTCTCCTAAAAGAATGAGCTCAAGGCCAGGCCCACCCAATGCACTGCATCTCAGGCTCACACTACAGCAAGCAGAACTGCCTGCCAAAACAGAAAAAAAGGAGAAAGGAATCCCTTAGTTAGGCCCACAATGCCCATTGCTGGATCTAGTGTGGCGTGGGCAAAGGGACATGCCAGGAACTCAAAGAAAATAATGCTACACTAGAAAGAGTCCTGCCACTGAAATAGTTGATATGTGTCCAGACTTGTAATACTGTGTAATTAAAGCTCTTGGCCTCACATGACATTGCTTTTACATCCATATTTATTCACATGTGTATAGTCATGTTTACAAGGGATGGAGAGGGAGACTTAGGGACAAAGGGAGGGCAGGGGAGGGAAAGAGAGAGAGAGAGAGAGAGAGAGAGAGAGAGAGAGAGAGAGAGAGAGAGAGAGAACATGGGTGGGTTCTGGGTTGCAGCTGCAGATCCCTGCTCCTGTTAGGCATTCTGAACCACAGGTTTCTTCCTAAATCTTTCCAAAAACCACCTGACAACCTTGTGCATTAAAAACTGCAAAAAAATAAAAAATCCCAGAAAGTCTCAACATCTTCAAAGACAAAAGCATAGGATTCAACATCAGCAGGGTACTTTTCCCAGTCCTGGCAAACAGAGGCACTGAAGTGCCAGGGAGGCTCCTCTCCCTAGCTTCCTGTGGGTCAAGACTCCTTTCAGCATAGCTTTGTACTTTATTGATGCTGTCTAAGCAGTCTTCTCCTGAAACTGAGTTTTCACCCCAAGGCCAGAAGAAATACTAAAACATTACCATTGGCTGCCTAATATCTCCAGGTATTAATTCAGCATTTTGCCTTTTTACCAAGATGCTTCCTAGATAGCTCTATTAAAAGTGCAAACTTCAAATCATGATTGGTTAATAAACACGCCTTCTTTAGTCAAGCACTAGTTTCAGCCACTATGCTATTAAAAGCATGTTTTTAGAAGATGAATCCAAAAATCAGATCATAATATTCTAGTCAGAAGTCAGCAAATTTAGTACGTGGGTTCATTCCGGCCCAATGACTACTTTTTCGTTATTTTGCTTATATTAATGCAGTTATAGCAGAACGTAATCATGTTCATTTGCACAAGGGTGTTTTCCCACTATATTAACACAAGTTGAATAGATGTCACTCATGGGTCATAAAGCCTAAAATACCAATTACTGGGCCTTGTGTATAAACTGTTGGCCAACATATATCTAGACAGAAAGCTTCATAAACAGGAATGATTTTGTAACAATTCAAAGAAAATGTTGAGGTCTTTGGTAAGAGAGAATGATTCATCAAAAATAACTTCTAGTAGAAAAACCTCCAAAATGGAAACTATGCATGGAAATTACCAATCTTCTAGCTATTCCAGTGAGCCAAAGGGGTAACTCAAACATCTGGATACTTTGGAAAACCCCCATCATAATCAGAAGTTACCATCTGATCAATTACATGCATTTGGATTTTTAAATTAAAAAATTGAATGTATTATTCCATTTAAGGAAAAGGAAATAACAAATACACATCTCTTGTGAATAATGACTGTACAGTAGCCAATGATAAAAGGAGGGGATTGAGCCTGAAGAACAGTATGTTAAGGGAAATAAGCCTGGCTCAGAAAAGCAAATGCTGTATGTTCCCATTTATGAATAGAATCTCAGAGAAGTTGAGAGTAGACTGATGTAAATCACGGGACAAGAAGAATATGGGGAAGAGAAAGGGGGACAGAGGTTAGTCACAGGCACAATGTTACAGCTATGTGGGGCAAGAAGTTCTGGGGTTATGTTGCCTAACGGAATGACTATAACACAACATGTTTCAGATGGAGAAGATAGTTAATGTTCTTACAATGATGAACTGAGAGGTGTATAAGGTGGTGTCTAAGCAAATTGCCCACATATGATCACTACATACATTTTTACATACCTAAACCTAATACCCTATAAATAAATATGTGTCAATAAAAATTAAAACAGCAAAGTATGAAAATAGTACATATGAACCCCAGTGCTTAATTCTCTTTCTGACATGGCAATAGGTTCCTCATCACTCAGCTACACTGACCATCTTATAGGGATGTGCTTTGATTGTATTAGAACAAGGCACCAAGAATGGGCTGGCTACATAACTTACATACATAAGAGAGAATCAAAATATCATAAAAGGGGGCTGTTGAAGTCCAAATTTAAAGACATATAAATATATATGCATATGTATAATACACACACACACACACACACACACACACACACACACACACACACACACAT